GGCTGGCAGCCAGGCAGCTTGAAGCGAACATGAGGCTTGCTTGCTTCAGTGACGGAGGACTCCAAGGTTCCCCGCCTGCCGCTGCCGGCCTCTGAGCTTGCAGTTTGAAACATTGTTACAAATATAGAAGCTAAACAAAACCCCAGAAACCTGCTTTCAGCCAGCCAGGATCTCCGAGCTGGAGTTGAAACAGTGTTTTGATTATAGAACCCAAACAAACCAGATACCTGCTTTCAGTAGCAAAGGCCTAAGAGCTGGAGCCAAGCCTCAGAGCTAAAGCTGGCCAAGAATGAAAAAAAAGAAAAGAAAAGAAAAAAAGGAGTGGTTGGGAGCTTCAGTCACCTGCCAGCCTGAAAACAGCCCTCAGCCCCTCACCCAGACTGGCCAGGCACCCCAGTGGGGACCCCAACCCTGAAGGGTGTGTGACTAGCTGCAAACAGCCATCACCCCCTCATCCAGGCTGGCCAGGCACCCCAGTGGGGACCCCCACCCTGATCCAGGACACCCTTCAGGGCAAACCAGCCAGCCCCCACCCGTGCACCAGGCCTCTATCCTATATAGTAAAAGGGTAATATGCCTCCCAGCACCAGGATCAGCGGAGCCGTGAGGCCTCCCCGCACCAGGATCAGCGTGACAGGTGGCAGTGCCCAAACCCCCTGATCGCATTGTGGCTCTGTGTGTGACAGGGGGTGGGGCCACAACCTCCCTATCCGCCCTGCTCTGTTCGTGACAGGGGAAGGCGCCCCAACCCCCTGATTGGCCCTGCTCTGTGCCTGATAGGGGGGAGCTCCCCAACCCCCTGATCACCCTGCTCTGTGCATGACAGGGTACGGAGCCCCAACCCCCCTGATGGGCCCTGCTCTGTGAGTGACAGGGGGCAGCGCCCCAACCCCCTGGTTGGCCCTGCTCTGTGCGTGACAGGGGGTGGCACCGCAACCTCCCCATTGACCCTGCCTTGAGTGTGACAGGGCGCGGTGCCCCAACCCCCCAATCGGCCCTACCCTGAGCATGACTGAGGGTGGCATCACAACCTCCCAATCTGCCCTGCGCTGTGCATGACAGGGGAAGGCGCCCCAACTCCCCAATCAGCCCTGCTCTGAGCCCGACCAGGGACTGCACCTAGGGATTAGGCCTGCCCTCTGCCACCCGGGAGCAGGCCTAAGCCAGCAGGGCGTTATCTCCCGAGGGGTCCCAGACTGCGAGAGGGCATAGGCCGGGCTGAGGGCCCCCCCCCCCCGAGTGCACAAATTTTTGTGCACCGTGCCTCTAGTAGATAAGATAATAAGGAATTCTTAAAAAGAGTTCAAGAAGCCCATGGGGAAAAAGAGAAGAGGGAGTGGGAGAGTGAGAGAGGAGAAAACAAACAGAAAACAAAAAAGTTAAATGACACACTTAATTCCTAAGATATCAAAAATTGTCATGAGAGCATACAGCAATTGGAAAAGCATTTGTCCAAGAAAATCTACTCTATCTCAGTAGCAACAGTTAGTGTCTTAGCATTTGAGACACAACCCAGTCCCTCCTCAGAAATGCACTCTGGGAGAGTGGACCCAAGAAGTAATGGCTCACTTTTCCCAGCTCTCAGCAGAATAAAAGGGTATCTCCCAGAGAGGAGCAGGCCTCACACAATGACACATTCTGCAGCACTAACTCCACCCCGTCAAAGCTATGTTCCAGGCAAAAGTGACTTAGAGACATGTTTGGGCTCTCTTCTGCATAGTAACCACTAGCAGAGCAGAAGCTCAACCACGGCTGTGACAGACTGAGAGTAATGGGGCCCTAACTGTACTCGACCCAACATGCTGATAGGGTGGAAGTTCCACACCAAGAGAGGCAAGGCAACAAAATGGGCCCCCATCCTACCAGCACGTGCTCATAAAGCAGGTGTGTCACTCCAAAATACATGGACCACTGCACCTGCCCCCAGCTCTGAAGCATAGGCTCAGATTTTGCAAAGGTGGAAAGGCAGGCCAAAAGAACAGGCATTATTTGGAATGGAGTAGGCAGGCATTACAGCCTAAGGGTGCAGTAAAAATGCTGACTTTTTAAGAAGAGACTGGTAGCTTTACGAGAGCAACTGGCTAAACCATAAAACAACTAGAAGTATATCACATAAAACCAAGGACAGAGAAAGCTAAGAAGGTTCTCCTGAGATTATAAGAAACCTCAAATACTGGCCTCAAAAATAAATGCAGTGGTCCCAGGATGGATTGATTGGGATCAGGTGAAAGCTATATTCAGTTTGGTCCCAGGACAAAACTAGAATTATAACTAAAATATAGAAAAATCATCCTGAATAACTAACTGAAGACTAGCTGGAGAGAAGCCTTACTAGTATAATCAAGGACTTACAGAGGGAGCTGCCTCAAGACTGGTAGGAGGTGTAGAGGCATACGAGAGCTGGCTGAGCACTCATGGGCAGCAGTTGAAGTTCCAAAGGGATATGTCAGCTGCGGAGGGATCCCCCTGAGAAGTGCAGGGTCTAAACCCCAAACCAGGCTCCCAGCCCAGAGCACCAGAACTGGGAATGGCACCTACATAACATCTGGTTGTGAAAAGCAGAGGTATCTGTCCACCAGGGAAAGACGGCTAGAAATGCAGGCATCTTCTTACAGGGCCAATGTACAAAATTTCATTCACAGCCACTCACCCTGGGCAGAGGGAGAGCAGAGTGAAATAGAGCTGTGTGAGGAGAGTCTGGGGTTAGTGGCTCTGGGGAGAGAGAGCTGAAGGTCAGCCACCAGGAACCCTGTGCTGAGTCATTCCCCCATATTGTAGAAGACATCTTTCTCAGGCAGAGCATTCCCCTCCATGCAATGTCAGCCTCGGGAGAAGCAATAGCCCCACTCCTTGGAATCCCTCTAACCCCACTCTGTGGAGCTTAAGCCCTGCTGAGGAGTACAGCTTGAGGCTCTTTAAGTGGATGAGCCTAACCGACAGCCTGCAGGCAAGACGGATCTCTGGGTGCTTTGAGCCTTTTGCTGACCAGACCCTGGCCCCAGTGCTGGTAAAAGCCAGCCTTGGTACACACCTGGGTCCTCTCCACATGCAACCACGCCCAGCAGAGGGAGCCACATGCTATGGATGGCTGGTAGCTTCAAACAGGTTGCCCAGGGTTAGTCACAGATGGCATCTGATAGTGGCCTACATTACTGTTTAAAGAGGCCCAGAACCAATACACTCAAGGGTCAGCTTCAGACAATAACAGAGCAGTATCCAATAAGCTTCAAAGCAGCATATCCATAAGGAGATCTTGGCAGTCACCAAGGTGAATTCCACTTCATGTGCTCAATACCTGCACAGCAGCTTGTATGCTGTGTTGGGGCTGAGCCTCACTGTCAGCCAGCCCAATCCCACACACAAAAGGGCCAATGGCAATCAAGTCTCAATTACAAAAGGAGGGCCCACAGAAGGCACACAAGAAACATTCTTAGAGCACCAGCTCAAATGATCATGGACACTGTGCCATTGGGTCCCACAGGTCACCTACTAAGACTGGGAGTCATAGCCGTTCTACCAAAAATATAAAAACACAAAGAGGCAGCCAAAATGGGGAGACAAAGAAACAAGCCCCAAAAGAAGAACAAGAGAATTATCTAGAACAAGAGCTAAAAGAAATGGAGGTAAGCAATATATCAGATAAAGAGTTTAGAGTAATGATTATAAGGATACTCAACAGCATGAAAAATGGCCTAGATGCCATAAAAAAGGACCAGTCAAAATTAAAGAATGCCATATCTGGAATAAATAATACACTGGAAGGAATAAACAGTAAGCTTGAAGCAGAGGATTGAAGTGGATTTGGAAAACAAGGTAGAAAAATACATCCAATCAGAGCAGCAAAAAGAAAAAAGAATTTAAAAAATGAGGGTAGTTTAAGGGACCTTTGAGACAACATGAAGCATAATAATGTCCATGTCATATATGTACCAGAAAGAGAAAAAAGAAAGCAAAGGACTAAAAACCTAGTTGAAGAAATAATGACAGAACCCTCCTTATAAAAATTATCATAGAAATAGTAACACTTTTACTACTCCCTATAGTGCTGCATGATAAGTAAGTAACCTTTGTAAAAAGACTATTCAATTTTTTTAGTATAGGATGTACTCATTCAGGGAACACATTTTGGCCCTTGGGAATGATGAAGTCACAAAACAAAGGTGGCTTCTCTTGCAGAGCTTAAGAAAACAGTGCTTAAGGAGAATGCTGATCTTCTATTGTCTCAGAGCTCAGAGTATATGTGTTCAAGGAATGTTTGCTTACTCAAGAGTGTCAAAACTATAAATGATAGTTCATGAAGAAATAGGTGTATCCATTTGGCCCATATCCCTTGAGGCTCTGATTCTTTTCACCTTTACTATTTTTGTCCATACAGCACTAGCTAGTCTCACAAAGTTAACAGCATCCATACAAAATAAGACAGACATGCAAATAGCAACATTAGAATGTCTCTGCCAAGTGAAATTACATGTCTGACTCTCTCCCCCCCACACACGCCCCATAAATGATACCAACAAATAGAAAAAGGCCCTTGGTTACTGTTCCATCTTTTATGCATTTTCCATCCTATGAGAAGCCAAAAGATTTTCCCGGAAAGAATGCTCCCGCAGAACAAACCAAGGTGGCTTGTGAGAGCAATATTTCCGCTAGAAAATAAAAGGCAGCCCGAGACTGTTCTCATTCAGATTATAAACTAAATTGTCTTAAGATTTTTCCAAAGCCATCATTCCATGATTTGAAATTATGTGGGCAAAATCACAGCAATAAAAAGACATTTTTATACCAAAAGTAGGAGAATATCATAAAAAAATGCTATAATTTATATGTTTGTTTATTTGACTTAATAATACTTTTCACAGTTTCAAGAAATAGTTTTGTTAGAAAGAACATCCTTGAAAATGGGATTAAACAAACTGTTCAGCTTCTCTGGCTGGGAACCTTACTCATGAGGCACCCTATAACACCTCGTTCTCTCTCTACTATCTAACCGCACCCCTATAATCAGTGAGGTGCCACTGCTGACAGGCACCTCTCCTACCGGGGCTTCATTTTCCATCACGATGCTGATGAGTCCTCCCTCAGTGCAGCTCTCCCAGCAGCACTGCATGTTCCCGGGTTCCACCTGCACAGCCCCCGCCGCCCACCGCACAGCAGCCAGAACAGCCAGCAGAAGCCCTTCTTCTCCGCTGGACTTGCAGGCGTGCAGGAGCCCTTAGCATGCCACTCCTGTGATCAAACTGAACTACTTCCTCCAGCTGATTTCCAAGGAACTGTGCAGTGGATGAATAATTCATGACAAGGCCATTGCCGTAACCAATTTCAGCTCTGTGAGTATATTATCCACAGCAGTTTGCAATGTAATGATTCTAAACTATATTTGCTGCCATACAAAGAATGAAAGCTCAGTTTTCTAGTCAGTGACAGTAAATGTTAGTGGATCCCTTTGCTCCTTTTTCATGCTAATCTACAGCCCAGGCTTACTTGAGAAATTTCATAATATGTAGGAAAGGTAAATGATTAATCACAGATGTCTAACAGAACAAAAATTTTTTCCTCCTTAAAACCTGTTCTGTGAATTAGGTTCTGGCTGTAGAAAAAGCAGCAAAGTGCTTGCCCTGAGATCAGCAGGTCACAATTAACATTTAGCAAAAGCAAAGAAAATCATTTCCTGCAAAGCACAGAAAATCATCTCGTGGTGGGGGAGGGGAGCTTTTGGTATCAATGCCAGGAAACAAGTTGCTAAAAGGGGAATTTGCCTGGTTCTAGGGCTATCAGATCTTTATCTCGTTGATATTCTTCTAAGAAAAACGTGAACGTTCCTCTTCACCAACTTGTCAGTGCTTACACATATCCATGAGCGACGTCTGCAGCAGTTCATTCTCGGCAACCAAAGCCAGAATTCCAAGAGGAACCTGAACACAGCATGAAAGGCTCATTCTTCTCCAGGCTCTGCCGCCAGGAGGTCCAGTCCCCACCTATCATGTTTACCTCACTGCCTTCATCTTTGTTTTTCTTCTGATTGTCTCAAGCTGGTGCTTTGTCAGTAATTACTCTTTCAGCTACTGTTATTCTGTTCCCAGCCACTTCTAATTTATTTATTCTGCAAATCCATTCTTTATATGTCTCCTTGGCTCTGTATTCTTGCCTTTTCACCTCACTGTGCTATTTTTAGTATGTCATTTCTGAGCCTGTGTTTTATGAAACTCAGATTCTTAATAGCTTACTACTTGGGAATTCTCTTCTTTTTTGAAGGGCAGTTACTCTTTCTCCCGCAGGCATTGTGCCTTTCTCTCCATCCTGCCACGAGGGCAGAACCTGGCCGGCCAGTCTCCTCACTGGCTCAGACCCACAGGGACGGACGGTCTGTGGCATCTGTGGGTGTCACTGTGCAGTGGAGGGGAACCTTCCACTCCAGCTCCGTTCCAAGCTGGTTGCACGCTAGCGGCTCGGCGCAGGTGTGCGAGGAGAGGGAGGTCCATGGAACGCGAAAAAGGGAAAGGGAATCAGCTCAGCAGGGCTAGGGCCACAAGCAGCCTGACTCTGCTCTCTCCTGGGATACATTCTTTCCTCCCCAACTTTCTTTAATTCCCGCCATGGCTCTGTTGCTTCTTCCATCCTAGACCCTTCCTGTTTCACTGATCCCAGCTTTAATAAACTTCCTCTCAAAAATCACCTGGACTCATGTCGTGAAATTTTTCCAGCACCAAGTCCAGAACCCACACGCTACAGGCAGACCATGCAGACCCGCTCAGGTCCCAGTCCAGTAGCATTTTCTGGTGCCCAGAGATACGTGCCTTGTCAGTGCTCCCTTCTGTCAGGGGTTCTGCTGACTCCCAGTTCACTGTCGAAATACTTGACCCCAGGTGTTCTCACTAGTCTACTTTCCTTTCCTTTTTGACGAGCCTGGACGTGCCAAAGCAGTGATCCCCGGTGTGCTTTTCTTTGTCACATGGGGAGCATTCAGGGAAGGGCTTCCAGTCACGTGGAATCCCAGGCGCCTGCAGGACTGCCTGCATCACTCACGCTCCTGCCACAGCTGTCCGGGATTTTTTATTTTACTCCCTATCCTTTTCTCTCATACAGCCTCTGCACGGCGTGGGGTTGGGAATGACTTGAGTCAAACTCTGAATTCTTGGAAATTTTTATTTCCAACAGACCATCAGCTGTTTTCTTTAAATTTGCTGTTGGCATATTTCTGCCAGTTTTTATCCATTAGCTGTTCATATAATTATGTCTAAAAGGATGGATATTTTGAAATCTGGCTTCATTTTGCCACTCTTAAAACAGAAATCACACTACTTAAAACAAAACGAAACGCCCTGATATGGCCACATAAAAAAAGATGACTTTTTGGCCTGACAGATGTCAAAATACTAGCATTACCGGTATACCAAAATGACTACAGTGGATGTTGGTTGTTCTCCCTCCTCCTCAACAGAACACAGACTCTCTTCAGTACTTCCCTCTCCCCAGAGTTACCTTGGATGCTGGCCTCACCCTGCATCCAAGCCTGTGTTTTATGAGTAAGTTGACTGGCTCACTTCTGGCTCATGAGGTGAGATCTGCTGGAGGCATCTGGGATATACCTTCTCCCTTAGAGAGAGCAACAAGCTCCTCTTCCTCTCTTCCTCCATGCACAAGGCTACGTACAGCCCTGAATTCTAACTGACAATGACCTACAACATTAGGTGAAATCTGCCTGGAGATAAAGCGAATCCATGAATGGTAGAGCAGATCAACAGAAAGAACCTGGGTCCTTGAGTATGTCTCTGATATGAAGCCCATCTCTCACTTTAATAAAAAAAAATGTTTTTATTGATTTTAGAGAGAGAGAGAAAGGGAGAGGGAGAGAGAAACCTCGATGTGAGAGAGAAACATTGATCACTGCCTCCTGCATGTACCCTGACCAGGGATCGAATTCACAACCTGGGTATGTGCTCTGACCAGGAACTGAACCAGCAATCTTTTGGTGCACAGGATGACACTCAACCAGTTGACTTTTATCACTCACTTTCATATGGGCTGCCTTTTATATGAGCTAGTAAAGCTCCATTCCCCGGGGGGGGGCGTGCAGGAGACAGCCAATCAATGATTCTCTCTCATCATTGATGTTTCTACCTCTCTCTGTCTCTTCTTTCCTCTCTGAAATCAATAAAAATATAGAGAAAATACCTACAAAAACAAAATTTGCCACATTTATTTTCTATCTCTTCCTGACACACACGTATTTTTCCTTATTATTTTTCTTTTTCTGGATTAACCATTTGAAAATAAGTTGCAGACATATGGATATCACCCCTAAATATTTCTGAATGCATTTTTCTAATAAGGACATTCCTCCATATAACCACAGTGCCATTCTGACATCTAAAAAATTAACCATAATTTTATAATTATCATCTAATTTATAGACAGTATTCAAATTTCCCAATTGTCTCAAAAAGCGTAGTTTATAGCTGCTATTTTTCCTAGCTAGTCCCATCAATGTTTACATATTACATTTGATTCTTATGCCTCTTGGTCTTCTTAAATCTAAAATAGTCTTCCCACATTTTTCTGGGATTTTTTATAATAAAATTTTGTTTTAAAGTGAGAGCTCAAAGTTTAAAATTTTCCTTAAAAATGTATTAGTATTACCTTGAATTTAATAAAGTAAATTTTCAAAGGTATTATGAAAGTTAACTTGGTAAAATATTCTAGTCTCTGTGCCCGTGAGTCAGATGCGGGATGACAGCTGCTCTCAGTGGGCCGGTTTGGGAAGCCCACCAAGGCTAAGAAAGGATGATGGTGACACTCACTGGCCACGAGGCCATGCTGGTAAGCAGAATCCTAGGTCCCAGAGCGAATCTGAAAGAAGACCTCTGCTCTCAGGGAACAGACATCAGTGAGTGTTGGGGTACCATACGAATCAGTTGAGCACGCTGTTCATAATTCGTATGTGATGCTGCTTGTAAGAGCTCATTACACAGCTAATAACACACAAGCTTATGCCTTAGTTAGCCTAAGCCTACCTTAAACCGAAGCGCTGACAGAATATATTAAGACTCCGTACAACTGCAGCCACAACCAGTTAGTTACTTACCTATTACCTGAATGCTGTGAACCCAACGGCAGTCTGCTGTTTAAAAAGACAGGCTTCTGAAATGAGGTAAACTGAGTTTTCATAAGCAAACATGAAAACCGCACCAGGAGGACTGACTGAAAGGGGCAACATTTCACTGCTTATGCAAAAGCGGCAGGAAAGAAGGCTGTAAACTATTCCAAAATACTGCAAGCAGCAAGAGTAACTGTCATGACAAGGTGTGCTTGCTGTCATGCTACGACGTGTCTGTGAGACGCTGACTGCAGACTGTGGCTCCTCGGTGCCCTGGCACACATCTCGTTTTCTTCTCAGACAATTCTTACTGACAATTTTAACTATTCCTGTTCCCAGGGCCTCCTTTCCTGTCTATATGTTGCCAACTTCAAAATTCCATTTTTCTGTCTTTAGCTTAGTTAGATAGATTTCTCTCTCTGGATTCTACACATCTCCAGCTGGACGGACCATCGAGCACCTCACACTTGCCCATCTACGACCAAACTCACCATCTTTCCTGCTAACCTGCCACCCCCCCCCCCACCCGCCCCTGCTGAAGTCAATGATGTCACCCTGTTGTCCAGGCCAGACTTCACCAATCTCTGCCACCACAACTGATCAGCCTCCAGCCCTGTCAGCGAACCCACTTCCTGTCCACCCCCTTGCAACTGCTCACTTCTCGCATCCCCAACACCTCTTTCGTCCAGGTCATCACCAAGAGGACTGCTGCAATCGCCATCTAAGTGGCCTCCTCCCTGACTCCCCTCTCCAAACCCCATGACCTTACCAAAACAGAGCTCCAACTATTAACACCCTGTCCCACACCTTCCTTCACGTCCCAGTGCTCGTAGCGTCAATGTGGTCACTCCTGCCTCCTCTCAGTGCTCCTACCTACGCACTCGAGCATGAGTGTTTTTTCAGTCCTTCAAACATACCACATTCTTGTCTCCCTAGGAATTTTCACCTTGTACTACTTTCTCTGCCCACACACTCTTCTCCTCTATCTTTAGCTAAGTCCTACTTTTTAAGGAGTCATCTTTGACATCTCTTCTTCCAGAAAGCCTTCCTGTCACCATGAGACTGAGTCAGGGGCTCTTCTCTGGACCATGGCACTTACACACTGAGCTGCGCGATTGTCTAGTTTCCCTGCCAGCAGTGCACATAGCAAGAAGCAGGAGGTGGAGGCAAGACGACGAATGTGGAGGCTGGTACAGCAGTAGGGATGATGAGGGCCTGGACTACAGTCGCCATGTGGGAATTTACGGAAGCACATGACCTGGGAGAGATTTAGGAAACACAGAGGGTGTCTCTGCCTTATGCCACATTTATGCTAAATGCCTGACAAAGCACCACCATGAAATGGGTGCTTATTAAATATGGGTTAAAAATTAATAAATTAATAAAGACACAGACGAAGATGCAAGGAAGCAAACAGGAGAACATATGAATCTAGTTCAGTATACACTTCTAAGTGTTGCAGGAATGTAGACACAGAGGGGAGTGGAGCTGGGCGAGGTCACAGGGACATGTGGTTTGAAAAGATAGGGCCCAATGGCTGGCTGAGCAGCCTGTGCAAGCGAGTGAGTGAGAACATAGGAGGGGAGGTTGGGTTTGATACTAATTCTATCACTTGCCAACTACCAACCAGGGAACTCGTCCAGACTTTCTGTGGCTCACCTATAAAACAAAGATGACAATGATAGTGCCTAACTCTGAGTGCTCATATGAGAACCAAATGAATTCGTTCTCATATTTCTAAACCCCTGAGAAGAACAGTGCATTGCACAGAAGAAACATGGTATTAGTATATGCAATGTTAAATTAAATAAAAGAAACTCTGAGTGGTAGCTTCGCCTATTCAGATGCTGTAAAAATGGTCACGTGAAGTGAATAATTAACAACTGCATACCTCCATTTACCAGAAGATGCATTACACACATTTATTGAAAACTGTGAGGAATTTTCATATCTAGATCTTTAGGTAATATGTACAACATATTTTATACATATATATACACTTCCTAGCACACAGGAGAAATTGGAACTGCTGAGCTGCACCAAACAATACACCCCACTCCCATCTCAAAACACATAGAAATACTTGGTAAAATATAGCAAAATAATTTTGAATATATAACCTAACTCAAAAAAAAAAATAGAAAAAAATCCAGGGTCTAAAAGCAAGTAAAAATTTAAAGTTAAAGTATAAAACAAGAAACTAAAACTACAGGAATGAAATTTGAAGTAAATCTAAAACAATCCTCCCATATTTTTCTGTTTTTCATAATAAATAACTTTTTAAAGTGAGGATCTCAAAGTTCAAATTTTCCTCAAAAACCTATTAATATTACCTTGAATTTAATAAAATAATTTTTCAAAGGTATTATCAAAGTTCAGTTAGTAAGATTCTAGTCTCTGTACCTTAATATTCACAGAGGTAAATGAAAAATAAAAACATAATACAAAGACAGAAAATTATGAAAAAAGATTATGAAATAAAAACATGTACAGGGTTATAACAATCTAAAAACGTTTGCACAGTAAAGGAAATTATCAACAAAAAGGCATCCTACTGAACATGAGAAGATATTTGCAA